GCTAGGGTTAAATGGCTGCCACCTTGTGACAATATTGCTATGGCCACCTTACTTGTTATCAGGTCAAGCACTTATTTGATTATCAATGTCTATGTTCCTCCGTTGTATTCCAAAAATCAAATAACTCAAATGTGGAACCAATTGGAACTTTCTATTACAAACTTAGAATCCATAGCCCCCAATGCCTATGTGATACTTATGGGAGACCTGAATGCAAGAACTGGGTCGAACAATGACATCCTTTACTCTTCCATTGTCTGGGGTACAGGGTAGAGAATCACAATCTGATGAATCATAGATAGTCAAAAGATCTGAAGATCAATTATAGTGGGATATGCCTGGAACAGATGGTAGAACATCTTACTCTTTATATTGTAAATGGCAATGAATGGTTTGATAATTGTGCAGAATTTACTTTTGTATCAGAGAGGGATAACAGTGTGGTAGACTATATGTTAATTTCTCAATCTTTAAGGATTGAGGATTAAGGAATTCTCTGTCGGACATAGAACAGATAGTGATCATTTACTCCTAATTTTAACCTTGTCACTTCTAAACCCACTACAGCTTCCCTCTGAACACCATTTAGGTGACAATGCATTATCTGTACTATACAAATGTCTAATTCGGACAGATGAAGTTAATGTAACAGTCTCCAGTTTCTTAAAATCTCCTCCTAGTGAGAAATTAAGAAACTTAATAACAGCACATACGGAATCTACTTTGGATTCCATCGTTACAAACTACAACTCCCTAGTTTTAACAATACAATCTGTTCTAAGCCCAAAACAATATCACACCCATAAACAACTGGGAAGGTGCACTCCTAAATGGTTTGATAAGGAATGCTCCCATTAAAAAACAGACTTAGGTAAATATACATGCAATATAGGAAGAAGAATCTGGCAGTTCTCCCCCAGGAGTACTATTTATTTAAAAACCAATATAAAACCCTGATTGCCCTGAAAAAGAAACAATCAATTCAAAAACAATGGGACGTCTTGATAGACTCTGTGATAAACAAAGATTCTAAGCTAAGCACTAGGCGCTCAAACAGGATCAGCTTGCTGTAGTACCCCAGCAAATATATGGGAACAGTACTTTACCAAAATATTTGAGGAAACTAAACCCTCACAAACTGTTAACATCATATCCTTAGATCTAAACAAATTGCCAAACTGGGACCCAGTAACTGAAAATGACTAGGCAACATTAATAGGTTTATTTATTTATTTTATTTATTTAGTCTGCTATGGATGGTTAAAGGAGTGACAGGGAGGTGCATTTCTGTGCTTAGTATGGAAAAGGAGCATCTGGTAAGCTGCTTGATTGCTACACCAGTCACTGAGAAAGTAAAAAGGCTCTACCCCTCCCACATCAAACTGCTTATTTGCTTGTGTGAACCCCCTTGTCATCATAGGCTGTCAGGTTGCCTTTTAACCTTCTGACACTAACTAGGTTCCAAGCACTTCCTTGAAATACATGTAAAATACCATTGTGTGTATGTATTATGTGCCATCCCATCAAAACCAACTTATAATGAACTCAATAGGGCTTTCAAGGTAAGTGAGATATTTAAGGATTGTTTTTTCCAGTTTTATCCCTCTTCCCTAGAGTTGCAGAAAAGTATATGGGCTGTCATGGGAATGGTCTGTTTGCAGCTTTTATAGATTTAAAGTCTGCCTTTGACTCAATACCCAGACGAAATTTATGGGGAAAACTCTACTCTTCCTCGATTGATAAGAGGCTATTATATCTTATCAGAAGCCTCTACCAACAGACCACAATTATGGTGAGATGTGGAGTCGATGGGAATCTATCAAACCCCATTCAGGCAGAGAGAGAGGTTCGCCAAGGTTGTATTCTGGTGCGTACATTATTTAATATGTACCTAAATGACCTCCCTAAAAGCTGCACAGCACCTGAATTTCACCCTCCAAAACTGGTTAAAATCAATGTGCCCTTACTATATACGCAGATGACACAGTTATGTCACTATAGTAAGTTGGTCTTAAATAAATTCTTTTATGAGTTACAGCAGGAACAACCTATTAGTTAGCTTTGAGAAAACCAAAATAATGGTTTTCTCTAGGCATAGTAAAGTTAAAGAATGGGTTATTGAGGGCCAGCATATAGAGTAAGTTAAAACATTTAAATACTTGGGAATTGTCTTCTCATGTACCCTCTTCTGGTCTCACCATAGACAAGCAGCAGTGCAGGGGGCTAACAGTACAAGCAAAGTTCTTAGACAATACCACTATGTCCAGGGTGGGCAGTTCATCCCTGCTGCTCTACAGATAGTTAAGTACTAAATTCTTGCACAGCTCCTGTATGTTATTGTGATTTGGATAAATGGTTTCAATCCCTCAGTTGAAAGTGTCATGTCAAACTCGCTGCGACTCCTATTTGCCATGCCAAGATGCGTCTCTTCAGCTGCCTTGCGTTTGGAGGCTGGCCTTCAATCAGTGGAACGTCAAGCTTGGCTGTATGCATTTCGATTCTGGTTGAAGGTGGTATATGCTCCCACAACCAGTGGGTATTTATACTATTTACAGAAAGATGTCTTTGCCAGCTCATGGCATAAGGGATTCACTAACAAATTACATATTTTAGGCTTTTCTATGGACTTCTTTCTGAGCCAGCCTTATCATAGTACCAAGTCAATGCTTGTACAACGCATTAAAGACATAGATCTCCAGTATTCACTAGCATGTGCAGACCAATGTACTTTGGTTTAAATTTTAACTTTCCCAAATTAGCAAATTATCTATATCAAATCACAGCACCAAGGTATCATTTTGTCTTCTCAAGGGCTAGGTTTAATTGCTTTCCCCCAGCCTTGTCAAAAAGGGCTTTAATAACATTCCTTAGGTAGAAAGGATATGCCCCTGTGGGGAACAAACAGTTGAGTCCTTGGCACACACCATTCTAGAATGTAGCTTATATAGGTCTGAACGTATCTGTTACCTTACCCAGTAATGTATAAATGTACTAGTATACCTCCCACAGACTACCTGAAGTTTCTGCTGTCGGGAGAGAACCAATTAATAACACAGTCGGTGGCTAAGTTTTTATTATCAGTTTTAAGAATTTGTAAAATGTTATACTAAGACTACCACATGACTCAAATTTTATACTGCTGATATGTTCTAACAACTTACTTATTCTGTATATCCTATATATTTTTTTATCTTTGTATTTTCGGGTCTATGAAGCAAAGATATCTGCAATATCTGAGAGCAGAGCTTGGAAAAGTTACTTTTTGAATTATATCTCTCAGAATTCCCCAGGAAACATGTGCTCTGAAATACATATTGGAAAAAGTAACTTTGCCAACCTTTAGCTCTTGGCTGTGATAATTAAATGGACTATCCAGGCTCAGCAGCAGTATGATTCAGGAGACAAAGCATAAGATGGCCACTGCTTTCATATCCTGCCTATAAGTATGACTTCCATCATGAACACAGAAGTTGTAGGCTTGGTGGAACTTTTGATACAATCTAGCAAAATAATTCTGATGTTCACAGATGACAGGAGTTAGGTACAGTTCATGGTTTTCATGACAAGTGTGAGAAATATTTTAACTTTTGTTCTTTTTTTTTTTAACCTATTGCAGTAAATCTCTTTTGAGTAATGGACATTCCAGACCATATCTCACTGATTACTTCCCAATGCATTTAACCTATATAATGAGTGAAGATTTGCTGCCAGTTTGCTGTTTCTCCCATCTGGCAAGTCATTTAGCTCAGTCAATTCACCAGTTAATAAATAAACTGTGAGGAAGACTTTAACTGTATCTGATTGGAAAGAGATGAGGCAGTGGTTGTTGTGGGTTTTTCGGGCTCTTTGTCTTCAGAACACGGCCAGAGAGCCAAAAAAACCCACAACAACCATTAGATCGCGGCCGTGAAAGCCTTCACAAATACAAATCAGGCAGTCATTACACCCCATCAATTCATGTGCATGCCATTCAGAGAGCTGTGATTCAACAAGAGCAAAAGATTCTTAATTAAATGTGACTGCACAAGCTAGGAGGGCCAACTTCAGAAATGGGGAATAACCAAAGCCGACTTCCACTGTGTGGCACTATGTCATTTAACTGAGAAATATGCTTCCCCCAGAACCCTGTTAACATCAGGCTATTCCAGTATCACTTAAATGTATGTCAAGCATGTCCCTGAAGTAGCTGAACTGTGATTTTCCTGTGAACAGAGCTGCAGAGCAAATACATTCTCCACCATTTGCATGGAAGATACACAATAGCATGATTTTCCAACAGGAACATATAAACAGCTGGCTCCCTACCATAAATTTTGCAGTATAAGATGGGTGTCTCGGAGCATGAACTGATTTAGAGAGTTTGTAATTGGGAATCTAGTTCTCTTTTGGGGTTCTTCTGTAGAAAGCCTATATAAACAAATGGAACCTATGCAAGGTTAATGGTTGGAGTAGCACCCCTTTCAAAAATATTCACAGAATAACTAACCATATGGATGGTCATCACACAGAGTAGCCAAAGGGTGGCTGTTACGCTCATATAATAGATCTGAACAGGCACTGTTGATGACTTTAACAATTCACATTTGCAGCACTGTGAATTAAACATCTGCTTTTGATTGTACATTGCAAAATGGCTGTTTCCACATGATACTTTTAAAAGCAGCATGGTGTTTTCATTACATCCTTCATTTGTGTACAAATCCCAGCATGTGCAAGAATTGAGTAGTGTAGTAGAAAACCTGTCAAGCAGAACCACCATAGGATGCATATGCTTTATAGCTGTGTGTATACTGTTGCATATCCACTTGAGATAAGAAAACATTCCAGTTCTGTTTTCTAATTTCATGAACAAAATCTCCTGAAAACTGTTTTCTATGCCTTTTTTAAAAAAGCTGAACAGTGAGAAAACCTGCTGTTTAGCAACATTTCTTTCTACATCCAATGGTAAAAGTAACATAAACTTTTCAATGTGCTTTGTTTTTCTACCCCCTCGGGAGAAGACTGATCCACTTGTGACCATGTGGAGTTTTCAGCAGTGGACCTCCTTTCCCAGGCTCATGTGACAGAAGTGCTATTTTGGACAGTTTCAAAGTAAGTGATCTGCTCAGCTATTGACTTCTGGCTGATCCACAATAGATCAATCCCTTCTTAAGACTATAGGAACATAAAAAGAGCCTTGCAATTAAGATCTATGCAAGCCAACATTTTGTTTGCATGAGAGCCAGCCAGATACTTATGATTTATGAAGATACGTTTGCATTAAATTGGCTTGTGCTGATTTAAATTAATATATGCAAATAACATCACAATAGGATATTGTTATTATAATTGAAGTGGAAATATATTACTTCTCCTATTTGAAACATTACAACTGGATACAATGTAGAACCAAATTATTTTTTTATCTTGTCTCCTGGGACAGTGCAGCCCCTTACTTAATTATTTTTAAAAACTAAAAAAAAAAGCCCCTACCCCATTCTTCCCTCCCTCTGCCAGGCTGAGCCGCACAAGGCAGGCACCCTCTCCTTCTCCATTTTCCTCCTTCCCTTCCTCCACGAGCAAAGGCTGGGTGTACCCTGTGAGGTGGGCATGCATCTTCAAGGTGGTGCCTTGGTCCTGGCCACTCTCCCTTCTACATCCTCCCCAGGGGGATTGACATTCACACATGCAATATGGGTATGGAATGTTTTGATACATCATTGGAGCAAAATAACACAACCCTCCCAGTGAAGGCGAAATAAACCATAGTTACACTGCTGGCTGGGGAACTGATACAATAATGGTTGTGCGTCATATGACTGGAAATTTATACAATGATCTACCTGGAGTATAACTAAAGAACATTTGCCTCAGGTGATCAGAATCAGAATCTGTGCTTGAGGAGTGGTCTGACTGGTGATAGGTTCAAGGTGCAGCAGTGTCCCATTTGTCTTAATGTATCAGCCTCCACTGTTACTATTTGAACGGAGAATGGAGCATTGAGGGCTGTCATACGAACTACCATTTATCAGCAGAATGCATCATAATTGCTAGATGGGTGAGCAGCATGCCATTAGACAGAGTGAAATGACAGACTGCCACAGGTTATTTATTTATTCATTCATTCCATTTTTACCCCGCCCATCTAGATTCGGGAATCTACTCAAGGCAGCTTACAGAATATAAAGATAAAAACAGTATTCAAATAACTTTGTTCATGAAAGCAATAAAGATCAATAAAGAAAACAGGATCCAAGATGGGATAAGGAAGCTATGTAATGGGAGGGGGGAAGGCCAACCGGAAGAACCAAGTCTTCAACTTGTTTTAAAAATTCCCAGCAAGGGTGCCGGTCAGATCTCTGGGCGTAAGGTGTTCCAAAGATGAGGGGCCACCGTTTGATCTCTCCTTCCAGGCCTCTCTTGGGGTTAAGCCCCTCAGCCACCTAGTCTGGCTCGATCAAGTGATACAAGTAGAGCTAGGTGGGGACAGGCGCTCTGCCAGGTATCAAGGCCCTAAACCATTTAGGACTATATATATGTAAGCATTGGTACCTTGAAATCAATGAGGAAATGAATGAGTAACCAGTATAAGGCAGCCAGAGTGGGGAAAATATGTTTGTATTTTTTTGCCCTAGTGAATAGTCTGGCAGCCATGTTCTGGACCATTTGTAATTTCTGCATCAGTCTCAAGGGCAGCCCCATGTAGAGGGCATTGCAGTAGTCTAATCTCAAGACTATGAGCACATGGACCAGAGTGGTGAGTGACCCAAAATCAAGATAGGAGCGCAGCTGTGCAATCTGTCAAAGATGTAAGTGGGCGAAACGGTCCGCAGATGCCACCTGGGATTCCATTATAAGCGCTGGGTCAAGATGGACCACCTAACTGCGGACCACACTCTTCGTAGTGAGAGTTGCCCCCCCAAAAGAGAGCGAGCTTCCCAAACCACTGATAGAAGGTGCACCCACCCTCAGGACCTCTGTCTTGTCTGGGTTCAACCTCAGTTTATTCTCCTGCATCCATTACTGTACAGCCCCCAAGCAGCGCTCAAGGGCATCCACTGCTGTAGAGGTACATGTCATCAGCATACTGGTGACACAAAGCACCACACCCCCTGATGTCCCCACCCAGCGGCCTCATATAGATATTAAATAGCATTGGAGAGATTATTGATCCCTGCAGCACCCCATAATTGAGGAGCCACGGGGCCGATAAATTCTCTCCAAGCTGGACTCTCTGGGACCAGTTCTCCAAGAAGGATTGGAGCCAAGCAAGAGCTAGGCCACTAGTCCCCAACTCAGAGAGTCTCCCCAGGAATATACCATAGTCGACGGTATCAAAGGGAGCTGAGATACCAAGGAGAACCAACAAGGACATTTTGCCCTAATTGGCCTCCTTCAATAGATCATCAAGCAGGGTGACCAATGCCATTTCCTTATCGTGGTGCGGCTTGAAGACCAACTGGAAGGGAACCAGAGCATTTGTTTCATCCAAGAGAGCCTGTAGCTGATCGGTGACCACCCTCTCTACTACCTTGCTAAGGAAAGAAACATTGGTGATGGGTCTATAATTGCCAACGTCATCCATCACCAAGCTCAGTTTCTTCCTAATGGGCCTAATGAGTGTCTCCTTCCTGGAGAGACCCATTTATTATAGCAGTGTCCCATTTGGTTGTTACGGGCCTGGCCGCTTTGATTAGCCAGGCCGGGCAAGGGTCAAGGGAGGAGGTGGTGGCACAACAACAGTCAAGCACCTTGTCAACCTCAAGTGACGTCACCGGCTGAAAGTGGGTGATCTTTATCGGACAAGACAGAGCACTGGATGTCTGTGCTTGATTTACTGGTTTCAAATAGGGGGATAGTTCCTGGCAGATGGCCTCCACTTTAAATTTTTAAAAAGCTGCAAATTGGTCAGGTGAGATACTAGGGGGACTGCATGAAAATCTGAACTGTGTTCGGGGGCCGAACCAACTTTACTTAAAAATAAAATGAAACAGTGATGTTATGATTGTTTTTATTTTAAACTTGTTAATCTTCACAAATACTAAAGAGGTTTTTTGTGGTATGTTAAAGATAAGCAACTGATCAACTTTAGACAAAAAGCTATAAATGGTTTTGATGTTCAAAACTGTCCGCGGGCTGGACAGGAGCAGGGAGCGGGCTGTATGTGGCCCTCGGGCCACACTTTGCCCAGGTCTGTACTAGGGGGAGACCAATCACTGTGACCAATTCCGGATAGGTTGCATACTATACGGAATAGCTCCACCTGCTGGTTGGAGGCTTCACTGGTTTTGTACACCTGAAATTGTAGGATATGCTTTTTGCCATGCTGCCTTATGTAGCAAAAAGTTTTAGACCAGTTCTGCATTTCCATATTTTCTTCCCCTTAATCTCATTTCTAGGGACGTAGTGGCGCTGTGGGCTAAACCGCAGAAGCCTTTGTGTCCTGCAGGGTCAGAAGACCAAGCAGTCGTAAGATTGAATCCACGTGACAGAATGAGCGCCCGTCACTTTGTCCCAGCTCCTCGTCAACCTAGCGGTTCGAAAGCATGCAAATGCGAGTAGATAAATAGGGACCACCTCGGTGGGAAGGTAACAGCGTTCCGTGTCTAAGTCGCACCAGCCATGTGACCACGGAAGATTGTCTTCGGACAAAACGCTGGCTCTATGGCTTGGAAATGGGGATGAGCATCGCCCCCTAGAGTCGAACACGACTGGACAAAAATTGTCAAGGGGAACCTTAACCTTTACCTTTTAATCTCATTTCTGGAAAATTTTAACAATTCTAACATTTTGCATTATTGTCAGATTATATCTGTGCCATATATTTGCACCCTTCATAGGTTTGCATTCTTATAGGCCTATGGACAATCCACAAAAATGCAGTTACAACATACTAGAGATCAATTCATTTAAATCAGTTGTTGATGCCTAAGCACTACTAAAAACAAAGTCTCCAATAATCTCCTTACTTCCAGTTCAGATTGTATGAAGAGTTGCATATCAAAGAGATATCAGAGAAAGGAGAATGATTTAGCTAACACCTTCCTTCACTATTCTGTCTTGCAGGACCAACGCACCCTTTACTGAACGTAAGTACCCTCAACTAATTTAACTCTGTGCTGATGTTCTTTCTGTATAGGTATATATTGACTGGTAATTACAACTGTGGGCTGCCCTGGGTGTTTTTGATGGGTGAAAGGCAGACATCAGATATATACATGAGTGTACAAATAGAACTAGAAGTCAATAAAAACATAATATAAAATAACATATAATGATTGCAGCCAATCACAATAATATATCCTATATCTTAATAAATATCTCCAAGTATGGATCCTTCTGTAGATGAAACAACATCAACCACACATAGAGGTATCAGTTTTACTTAACAGAATTCCAGGCTTTGTAAAAGTAAGGGGGAAATGATAGAGGAAAAACCCTCAAGCTTTCCTAACCTTCAAGGGTTGAGAGTGCTTAATAGCCATGTTGAATGTATGTTGTGTGTGAAGTGAGGTTGGAGGTGGAAGAAACTGAGTCACCCCCCAAAAAAAAGCATATTAGTTAGCAATGATCCCTAAATGGTGCCTTCATGCTCAGAGGGAGTGAATGTCTGAATATCAGTTGTTGAGCTAGGAATAGCAGTTGTCTTTTTGGGAGTTCTTTGCAATTGCTGTGTAGCTGCTGCTGGAAACACTGCAATCAACAAGAAAGGCCAGTTGGAATGATCCTGCAAGACTCTTCTTAATCCTTATGGCCAAATATGGGGAAAATTGCATTATTTGGCTTATAGCTGATCTAAAAGCCCCCAAATGGCCAGTGGTCATGCAGCAGGGGGTTTGGGAGTTGTAGACTGTTGTTGTTTAGTCATTAAGTCATGTCTGACTCCATGTGGCCCCATGGACCAGAGCAAGCAAGGCCCTCCTATCTTCCACTGCCTCCCAGAGTTGAGTCAAATTCATGTTGGTCGCTTTGATGACACTGTCCAACCATCTCGTCCTCTGTCGTCCCCTTCTCCTCTTGCCTTCACATTTTCCCAACCTCAGGGTCTTTTCCAGAGCTTCTTACTAATTTTTAGGGGACTGTCCTTTTCTGTAAACTCAGTGCACTGGCTGAATTTGAATTAAAGCTTGGTGACTACATGACAAAAGCTCAAGTGGGTGGGGGAGCCCATGGTGGAATTGTCTTGTTTGAGTGAAGAATCATCTTTTTTCCCCAGCTGCCAGGGGAGGTTTACATTTGTTGCAATCAGTTTGATGTCATTGTTTCTGCTTTCTGCAAGTGTGATCCAATAGAAACAAAGGGACACTTGCAGGGGTGTCAATTCCCCTTAAGTGCCTATACTGTATCTCCAAATGGTTTCTCTCTCTCTCTCTCTTTTTCTTTACTCTTTCACCTGAGTGCTGGAGCAGGCTTTCACTAGAGCACTTAAGAGACCAATTAACAAGAGAGAGACAGACAAGGCTGGAAATTGCTATTCTGCACTTGTTAGAACCTTTTTAAGGCAGCTTCTGCTCTTGGAGCTCAGTGTAAACTAAACAATCTGCTTTTGCCCCTGCTGACTCCTACAAATCTCAATGGCTAGCTGCAATTTCACCTGGGAAGAACGGATTTCCACAGATACAAATCACAGCAGTGTACTCACATCCTAAATCCCATTCAAATGAAGGCTGCTTCAGGGTGAGTCTTTTATCATGCAATTACCCTAACTTATTCACAGAATTTGAAGGAGAGAGGAAGAAAAAAAAAGTCAAAATGGCACCTGTAGTTTCCCTATGGTTTCCAAACCACTTCTTCTATCTTTTTCTTTTCATGAAAAGTATATTTAGGAAATATTGGGATGTTACAAAAAAGATAGATTGGTAGCCTTTTGAAAAGTAGCATAGGAGCTTTCTGTGTTTAGGCACCACCGATTTAAAAACCTTATTTAAAATAATTTTTGTTATGTGTCTTCAAGTCACTTTGGCTGGCCCTATCAACTTAGGAGCTCCGAAAGATCCTATTGTTCACAGCTCTGCTCAGTTCTTGCAGACGAAAGGTCAATCTCATGATGGGTTTTTCTCATTTTCTGTTTCCCTCTGCTTTTCTCAGCATTAGTTGTTTTTTCCAGTTAGTTTTGTCTTCTTGTGATATATCCAAAGTACAATAACTCCACCTTAGTCATTTTAACTTTTAATAGGAATTTAAGCTTCATATGATCTAGAACTCATTTGTTTTTCTTGTTGTTCACAATATTCATAACATTCTCCACCACCACCGCATTTTAAGCAAATCAATTTTTCTCATCCATCAACTTCCTTCCCTGTCCAGCTTTCACATATGTACATCATAATCAGATGTATTATACTATATATATAATTTTGGTATTGGTCCCCAGTGACACATCTGTCCACTAAAGCAGTGGTCCCCAACCTTGGGCCTCCAGATGTGCTTGGACTTCAGCTCCCAGAAATCCTGGCTGGCAGACGTGGTGGTGAAGGCTTCTGGGAGTGGCAGTCCAAGAACATCTGGAGGCCCAAGGTTGGGGACCACAGCACTAAAGGATCTATCTTAGTGACTTCTTACCTGCCTTTCCAAATCATAGTCTTCTTCTGATTTCTTAGTGGGACTGCAGTCTCCATTTTGATTCATGATTGAACCAAGATATAGAAAAACCTTAATAATGTTGATATCTTCATTGCCAATATTAAATGCTACACTTAAATGTAATTTTTCTCTAGATATTATTTTTGTTTTCTTAATGCTGAACTTTCAGCCTGCATTTGCAAATTCTCCTTTAACCTCAATCAAAAGTAGTTTCAAGTCACTGATATTTTCTGCCAGTAAAATGTTCTGATCTTATTTTTTTCTCTTGTGCTCCATCTGAATCTATTCCAGCTTTCTGTATAATATGTTTCGCATGTACTAAATTGCTACTAAATGCAAGAGCAACTGTAATTCCCCCAAGGCATGCCTTAACGCAACTCCACTTAGTGTACCGGTTATAAACTTTCCTGAAGCTATCTGATTTGGCAACAGTCATTCATGCCTTAATTACATCAAGTCTTGACTACTACAATGCACTCTATGTGGAACTACCCTTCCAAAAGATCTTCACTTGGAGCAATGTGCAGCAGCTAGACTGCTAACTAGTGCATGATATCAAGATCATAAGAATTTGTACTTAACATCAGTTGCTCACTGGGCCCAGTTCAAAAATACTAGCAATTACAGAGGCCTGCTTGATAGGTAAGCAGAAGAGGGCTTCTCTCCAGACTGTGAAATGCAGTCTCCTCATAATTGTGAGTAGTTTCCACTCTTACATGTTTTTATGAACATGTAAGATATACCTTTTAAACTAGCCCTATGATAGTGTTCAATTTATTAGGATGATTTTAATTGTTGTAGAGATGTAATCATTTTCATGATTTTATAGTCTTGTTTTATTTGATTTTAATGCTTTGATGCTTAAATCTGTTTTATTGTTGCTTATGTTTCATTATAAACCACTTGGAGTACTATTTAAGTGTGAAAGAGTGTGGTAGAAATGTAATGAATAAAATAAGTGAAGACTGATTTCAAAGTCCACATTGGGGAAATACCTTCACTAGGCTAACTAAAGGCACATAAATTTCTGTGCAGATTTTGAAGACCTCCAGAGAAGTCGCTTTATCATGAAGGGATGTTACAAAAAATAGTTAGGGAGAACAAGTTGTGGAATGAATTTATATTAAAGTAAGCAAGACATGTTGTTTGCATGTGTGTTGAAATAAAAAGGGAGGAAGGAGGCTGCAGCATCTCAAACAGAGCTCCTCCAGTATTAGGCAGAATCTGAATGGCCTCTAATTACAAGTTAAGTGTTATGGTTATCCTGAGTTTAATTCATGTCCTTTACCACACTTCTAGAGTTTGATGGAGAAACGGTCGGATGACAGCAGGAACTGTTGTAATCACTGGTGGAATATTAGCAACAGTAATCTTATTGTGTATCATTGCTGTTCTCTGCTATTGTAGGCTACAGGTAAGGAACTTTGCTTCTGTAAAACATGCTCATTCTGCATCCAAGGAAAATAAAACACTGTATGCAAGAAACCTGTTTGCTGCATGCATACCAGGGTTACATTATTCCTTCTCTCAGCTAAATATGAATTGTAACTTGCCATGCTGAGCCTGTCTGGGTTCCCTGTAAAGATGGAAAACATATCTGTTTTCAACATCCAGAAAGCCACAACTTGCCAGCCGTGGGATTCTGGGAGTTGTTGACCTAAAGATAAGATTTCTGGTTCTTATGCACATACTATTGCACATAGTATTGCATGAGACTCATGCTCAATGGGACAAAGTTGTATGCACTGCATAACTAAAAAAGGAACTCTTTAATTAATAGCAACATGCCACTATGACAAACTCCATATACTACACCGAAAATTAGGTCATGCTTGTTTTAAATTGCTTGAGAAAATGCCAAAAATGGCTACAGGTCTTGAAATAAAGAGTTGTGATAACTACTTAGACTGTACCACATGCAAAATCTCCAAGTCTAAGGTCAGTCCTATTAATAGCAAAAGTTGCCAAAGAGCAAAATGACCTTTTGAGCTTGTGCATGCAGACTTTTTGGTCCCTTAACACCCTCTATGGGAGGTTCGCGTTTTGTACTTATAATTGTAGACTCCCACATGAGATTTGCTTTTATGTATCTGTTGCAACGCAAATCAGAAACGTTTGAAAAGTTCAAACAATGAGTAAATTTTGCTGTGAGGAAATATAATCACAAAGTGTGTAAGCTTCAGATTGAAAGAAGATCATAATTTGTGGCAGCTAATTTTCAGCAGTGGCTGAGTAGGAGAGGTATAAGCCCCAGAAAAACAGGTGCCTATTCTCCACATCAGAATGGGGTTGCAGAATGCTATAATGGGATGTTGCAAACCATGAAGGATTCCCTGTTAGCTGACTCAGGGATGAGTAACATGGTGAGAAGCCATTTTAATGGCAAACTATTTGCTTAACAGACTGTGGTCATCATGTATAGACCAGACTACAGTGGGGTCTCAACTTACGAACTTAATCCGTATTGGAAGGTGGTTCTTGGGTCGAAATGTTCTTAGGTCGAATCTGCATTTCCCATAGGAATGCATTGAAAACCATTTAATCTGTATTTGCTCTTTTCCGTCCATAGAAACTAGTGGGAAGCTGCTATTCCGCCTTCTGCCACTAGAGGGGGATACTTTTTCTTTTTTTCCCTTAGGTTCAGGAAACGGAGGAAGGCAGGGAACAGTTTGCAAAGCACTTTAGAAATCTTTTTTTTCAACAAAGCCAATTTTAAATAATGTTTTAAAGCATGTTGTGCTGATTTTTTCAGCACAAAGACACACAGGCAGACTTTTTAGGTGCTGAGCAAGCCTCCCCAAGCCTCTTCATAGCCAGCCCATCAGCTGATAGGCAGGGAAAGGAGGGTGCAGGAGCGGGGGGGAAATCACAAAATGGTTGCCAGGCTCCCTTCTGGGTGTGGGCTTTTAGCTGTTTCCTGCTCTTTTTCCTGCTGTTTGGGGGCTACCAAGGCCTGGTAATTGACTTTCTTTTATTTATTTTTAAGTTTCTGACCCTTTTTCCCCCTCCAGAAGCCTCTAAGGGGGGGAGGGGGCACTTTTTTCCTGTACGTAACTCGAGGGAAGTTCATATGTCAAGTCCTTATTTCCCCTATAGGGCAGGTTCATATGTTGAATTGTTCGCAAGTAGGGTCGTTCGTAAGTTGAGACCCCACTGTACATACTATATGTTATACAACAAAAAGCCTTATTTGGATCATTAAAAATGGTTGCAGTACATGGGTAGATATCCCAGAGGCATTACAAGGAAAGAAGAAAGAAAAGCTAGAAAAATGAAGTCTCTGAAATATGATCAAACATCCAAGAGGTATAGGTTTATAGACCAGAACAACAAACTAGTAATATCCAGATCTAGTACCTTTGCAGAACATGAAAATTGACAGAGTTTATCCTGAAATTATGTTTCCTTTGAGTAGTTCTAGCAAATCAGTAAAACAGGGTGAGCTAGAGGTGCACAGCCAAAGCTCTGAGCATTTGCAAGCTGAGGTCAATTTGAGTCAGAACAAGGTGACTCAAGTTTTGAAGTTAAAAAGGAACCAATAGAATTAAGGTGTTCACAACATTCCACACAAGGAATACCACCTGAGAGATTTGTGGTTGGTAATGCAAAAAGCTCTGAATGTTACGTTCAATGAGCCAGAAACTGAGTTGAATGTAATTAATCTTCCAAAGGCTGAAAGGAACAAATGGGAGCAAGCCATGTGTGAAGAGATGCAGAATATACATAAACACAATGTATTCACTGATACCAAACTTCCAGAAGGAAAGAAAGCCATAGAATGTCATTGGGTTTTTAAAGAAAGAAAAGATCAGGCTAGTGCAGAACCGAAGTACAAAGCTAGGCTAGTAGCGAAAGGGTACACACGGATATATATCAATCAACTATAGTCTCCTATATTTAGCTCAATGGACACACCCAGATATTGCCAATGCTGTCAATATTCTTGGTAGGTATATAACACATCCTACACAGAAAACACTGGCTTGATATTATGGGAGTATTAAGATATTTAAAAGGTACCCAAAATGTATGTCTAGTGTTAGATCGAAGCACAAATTATAATGTTAAATGTACAAAGGCACAAGGAAATTGTAAAAAAGCTTGGATTAAGTTCAGTACATGAGTAAATTGGAGGGGTTTGTCAGGATATTATGACCCACAATAGAGAATTTACTCTTAGTACATGAACCAAAGTTTACTAATAGGCATCCATCTTAAAACAGGTGTGCAGCCACAGAGTCAGCACATGAAGCTGATGGGATCCATAAAATGTGTATTGGACATTATGTAATGTCTGGGAGAAGTCATCAGGTGATGTGCCCAGTGATTGGTTATTCAAACTATAGAAGTGCTGCACACTATGATGCTGTGTGGAGTATTGTGTTTGAGAGTTGCTACATGAAGTGCTGTCCATTTATTTATTGTAAGTGTATTATTAAGGCTCTTGACTGATGTACATCATTCCATTGTACATAGTCTGTAAACGCACTGCTGTTGAAGGAACCTGCAGCTTCTGTGAGTCTCTTTGCTGTCAACCTGGGAGACCGACTTGTCTCGGAACCATCTCCACACCCCAAATCTTAGCAAAATCCTGCAGACTAATCTTATCCCATTTTTTGATCAGGTAATCTTTATGGTAGATGGTGGGAAAGCTGTAGATGTAATATATCTTGACTGCAGCAAAGCCTTTGACAAAGTGCCCCATGGTATTCTGATTAGCAAACTAATTAGGTGTGGGCTGGATAGAACAAGTGTCAGGTGGCTATGCAATTGGCTACAGAATCGTACTCAGGGGGTAATGATTAACAGCACCTTCTCCAACTGGGAGGAGGTAACAAGTGGGGTACCCCAAGGCTCAGTCCTGGGCCTGGTGCTTTTCAACATTTTTATTAATGACTTCGATGAGGGAATACTTCTCAGATTTGCAGATGACACAAAACTGGTCGGATAGCTAATAATGGAAGACAGGAACAAAATTCAAAAAGATCTTGATAGGCTTGAGAATTGGGATGAAAACAATAGAAAGAAATTCAACAGGGATAAGTGAAAAGTTCTTCACCTAGAGGCAGGGGAACAAATGCACAGTTACAAGACGGGGAATATATGGCTCAGTAATACTGCAAGTGAGAAAGATCTTGGAGTTGTAATCAAAAGATAAATATGAGCCAACAGTGAAATGTAGCTGTGAAAAAGGCAAATGCAACTTTTGTTGTTGTTTAGTTATGTCCGACTATTCGTGACCCCACGGACCAGAGCATGCCAGGCCCTCCTGTCTTCCACTGCCTCCTGGAGTGGTATCATCTCATATCGGAGGTTGTTGATATTTCTTCCAGTAATCTTGATTCCAGCTTGCAATTCCTCCAGTCCAGACTTTCGCATGATGTATTCTGCATATAAGTTAAATAAGCTGGGAGACAATATACAGCCTTGTCGTACTCCTTTCCCAATTTTGAACCAATCAGTTGTTCCATATCCAGTTCTAACTGTTGCTTCGTGTCCCACATATAAATTTCTCAGGAGATAGATAAGGTGGTCAGGCACTCCCATTTCTTTAAGGACTTGCCATAGTTTGCTGTGCTCCACAGTCAAAGGCTTTTGCGTAGTCAATGAAGCAGAAGTAGATGTTTTTCTGGAATTCTCTGTCTTTCTCCATACTCCAGTGCATGTTGGCAATTTGGTCTCTAGTTCCTCTGCCCCTTCAAAATCTAGCTTGTACTTCTGGGAGTTCTCGGTCCACAAACTGTTGAAGCCTAGCTTGTAGGATTTTGAGCATAACCTTGCTAGCATTCTTTGGCACTGCCCTTCTTTGGGATTGGGATGTAGACTGATCTTTTCCTCTGGCCACAGTTGAGTTTTTCAAACTTGCTGGCATGTTGAATGTAGCACCTTAACAGCATGATCTTTTTAAAACCTTAAAAAGTTCCACTGGAATGCCATCACCTCCACTGGCCTTGTTGTTAGCCAGGCCTTCTAAGGCCCACTTGACTTCACTCTCCAGGATGTCTGGCTCAAGGTCTGCAACCACATTATCTGGGTTGTCCGGGAAGTTGAGTTTTTCAAACTTGCTGGCATGTTGAATGTAGCACCTTAACAGCATGATCTTTTTAAAACCTTAAAAAGTTCCACTGGAATGCCATCACCTCCACTGGCCTTGTTGTTAGCCAGGCCTTCTAAGGCCCACTTGACTTCACTCTCCAGGATGTCTGGCTCAAGGTCTGCAACCACATTATCTGGGTTGTCCGGGATGTCCAAATCTTTCTGATATAATTCCTCTGTGTATTCTTGCCACCTCTTCTTGATGTCTTCTGCTTCTGTTAGGTCCCTCCCATTTTTGTCTTTTATCATGTCCATCTTTGCACAAAACGTTCCTCTAATATCTCCAGTTTTCCTGAACAGATCTCTGGTTTTTCCTTT